CCCCCCATGTTATTGTTCCATAGAGAGTAATGCGGTATGTGGGCGGTTTCGTCTAGAAATTGTTCAGATGTATTGGAGAGGTTACTGCTAATAATCATAAGATCAGTTTTCCTTTGGGGTGTTTTGCAAAACATGTTTTCTTTCCAAAGCTGGGTAAGGCCAGCTATTTCCTTCCCCTAACATCTCGCAGATGCCAGTTGGTGTTACGCCAACGTGTCTGTTTTTTACGGTCTTTATGTACTTGGCTCTGCTCCTGGTCGGCAGCCTCTTTTTCTAAGCCTGCCTCCCCCCCATTATGTCTATTTGTTGTTAAAACAGCCTTATTTTCTATAACACTATCTTAGTGGAAAGATAGGTATTATCAGGACGAGTACCTTTTAACGTATTAAGCTAAGGAAGGCTGGTCATCGGTAGCAGGAGCAAAGCAAACACTGTGGGGACTGAAATATAATTTCACAAGGAAAGCGGTGCCCAAAATAACCGAAGACTTTAGTTCAAGGGACAATCCGATCTGCCTTTACTGAAAATAGAATAACATTTCTAAACTAAAAGGACACATCGAAAGTAAAACCTACAATTAGATTTAAGCTATGTTTGCAGTGGTTATTTCTGTACAAAGGATCTCTACTCATATAGCGGTTCTTTATAAGTCAAACTCACACAAAAGAAAAACAGATATTCACAGGGACATCCTCAAGTGAAAGGACTTTGAAAGACCAGGAAGACATCTGCCGTAAATGTACTTCTTTTTTTTTTTTCCTGGGTGGAACGGTAAATATTATAGGTCAGTAGACTAATCCAAGGCCAACCTATAAGAGTTAGCTTCATTGCAATTAAAGAAAAAAAAAATCTCTGTGGGTTGTAACTATAAGAGTAACTGTGTATTTCTAGTGCTATATATTTTGACTGTGAATCCTGTGATTCTCTTTGGTGCCTCCTCTTTGGAACATGCAGTCCCCCTGGCAAAACAACGGCTTAACATTGCCATGGCTCCCAAACCTTGCCCTAGGTCATGTGGCCCATGGACCTGGGCGTCTTCCTTTCCAACACCCAGGCTGAAGGAAATCAGTCCTGAACAGCCCATGGTTCCCTACAATGGGCCTTGATCCATGTGCACACATGTGCATCCATGATGGTGCAGGAAATAATTGCAAAAAATAACTTGTTCCCTCACCCACTGCGTTCCTACCCTAGCTTTTTGGAGAACTTGACCTCTCTCATCAATATCTACATACAGGACAATGTAAATTGAGAAAACCCAAGTGAAAAGATAACACTATGGAAGTTCTGTAGTTTCTGTTTCTCGTGGACACAGTATAGAAAGATAAATTGAAACTATGACAGAGAAATACATAATTGTGAGGCCCACAGCATATCAAATGTACTTCATCCCTTCCCATGAACCGATCATAGGATAACACTGAAGCCATGATTTAAAAATATATATATATATATGTTTATTGATTTCAGAGAAAGGAAGGAAGAGAGAGAGAGAGAGAGAGAGAAACATCAATGATGAGAGTCATTGACCGGCTGCCTCCCGCACGCCCCTGACTGGGGATCGAGCCCCCAACCCGGGCCTGTGCCCTGACCGGGAATCGAACCACGATCTCCTGGATCCTAGGGTGATGCTCAACCACTGAGCCACGCTGGCTGGGCTAAAGTCATGATTTATTTATTTTTTGGTCCTGTTTCTCACTTTGTGGGAAAACATCCTTCAATATGTACATTTAACGTCCATAAACCACCACAGTATTTTAGTTGTAAGAGACACAGCTGCGTGATTTCTACGTGGAATAATCACATCATTTTATATCCACGATCATTAATCTTTTTCACTTTCTAACAGACTCAAAATGTCGAACGGTTGTCAAAAATCACATTTAATTTTGCCAAAACATGCGGATGCCCTTTGGAGCTCATGTCATGCTTTTCAGCTACAGCTGGCTTAAAAATACGGATAAAAATGACATCCGAACAAAAATGTTTTAGTTGATTAAATAATATCTCAGGTTTCAAATCTGAATATTGTGTGGTTTATGTAGAATTCTTATATCCTTTGGGGACCCAATACTTGAGAGAGATTTACAGTTAAAGCTGAGAATGCATCCATCTTTCTCTGAAACTGTAAAAGTCTCAAAGGCTGCAAAGGCCATCAGCATCACAAAAGCATGATAGTCGTGTATGATTAAAAAAGAAAACAGATCTCTTGGAGAAAATAAATGAGCTTACTTTTCCATTATACGGAGTGGCCTTGTCTGAGCGTCTTAGATATTTAACAATACCTGCTAACTTACCCATCCCTCCTCTCTCCTTTGCCTTTTTGCTTTTAGGTGTTCCCATAAAAGCTACTTATCACACACCTACCCTAATGCTGTTGCTAATTTGACCCACTCATTCATATTTTTAAGGGATTTTTTCCCCCTTTTTTTTTTAGCTGTTCTAGTGAGTCTGCCTGGTTTTCGCTATGCAGGTTGGGATCCAGATGCAAACAGAGGATGTGACCTTTCAGAAATAATGTCGTTCACACCTTACTTCTGATATCAGTGGACCTGATGTCTTGCAGGAAAGCACGAGCTGGTACTTAGGATTGGAGAGTCGCCTAGGCTATGTCATTTTAAAATGGGTATTATTTGGCCCTGGCCGGTCACTCCGGTGGTTAGTGTGTTGTCCTGATAGACCAAGGTTGAGGGTTCAACCCCCCC